GGTGCCGGTAGCAACAAAAACTGCGGGGAACCAATCAAAAAACGCATCTTCGCACGGGCAGCCCGTACGTTGGCCAATTATCAAGAATTTTTTTGAGGGAGCATGCTTTAATGATATTTTCTTTTTTGACAATCTTTTTGTTTGCAAATTCCTTCCTTTTTCTGAATACAATAACAGCGCACCGTGTGCAGAGAGTTTTTATTACTAGTTGTTGTTGATATCCTTGAAAGGCTTTCAGGTACTGTTGTTTTGGGACGCCGCAGTCGCTGATCATGTCGGCCACCGAGGACATGCTTGTGTTGTTTCGCTCGTTCTATCGCAGTGGCAAAGGTTTCCAGGCGCAGGTACGCGCCTTACCAGCAACCGGTTCGTTCTTGGCCTGGTCCGAGTGGTCTGCGTGCAGTGCATCGTGTGGCGCCTGTGGCATCAGGCATCGTCGACGCATATGTGTCGGTGGTGCCTGTATGTTAGTTTAGACTTCTCTTACCAGCCAAAGCACGCATCGCACCGAGCACTTCCTGCACTCAATACAGCTGCACTCCAAACAAATCGGCGCAGTTCGAAACTTAGTGCATTCTGTAGTTTTTGCACGTTTAAATCAGTGAGAGTGAAGTTTACGACATGTACAAGTAATCAGTATGTATGTTTCATTCTGTAGCTGTAAATACAGACGAAGCAGTCAGTGCAGTCAGAATTGGAATCATCAGTACAGCCTCCTATCCATCATGTAAATGTGAAAAACATGTCAATCAGCATCGAGTGGCATGTTTTTCAACTAAAGTTTGGCATTGTCGTTTCTCGCTCGTACAAAAATTTGGACCAACTCCTGGAATAAATTTTAAATTTTTAAAATTTTTCGAAACTTGCACATGTTTTCCCAAAAATTGTGTCAATTTAAAATCACATTTACTGACTAGTACCTCCGGCGGATCTAACATCTAATGAATTTAACATCGCTATTAAGTTTAGCATCAAAATCACTTTGCACTCAAATAATTTAGCACCGAAATCCATGCACTTTGCATCCAAATAACTTGGATGAGCTGCTCGCTAACTTTAGCATATAACTTAACAGTGGTCTGCCTCGGCATGGCTTCGGGCTTGATCAGTGATGAATGATCGACTGTGGACATTTTTGCAGTGGTGAACAATCGGCCAGTCAGGTCTGTGGAAGAGCACCATGCAAAGGCCTCTGTGCCCACAAAACATTCGAGCAGACACGCTGCGGTGGACTCCTAGCGCTTTTCCGCGGCATGCGTTGCAAGCGGTACGTTTTCCAGTCACTCTGCTACAGTTCACTGTCTGATCCCTCAGTCGTGCATTTTCAGTTATTTTGACCAATGCTGCATTGTTTGATGGTCAACCCGCTGGCGATCCTAGCATTCATTTCGTCTGCTGAGCGAACTAGCAACTTAAAGGTTCTTTTGGAAAAACCGATGGAACGCTTAGGCACCTCGAGATGCTTTTAGTTGTATACTGAGCATAGCCACCTCGGTTTGCTGCTACTCCTAGAAATCACAAAGTATTCCATCGGCAAGGAGACTTTTTTCAACTCAAACTCACAACTTTAGCCTTTATCTATGATCATCTCTTGCTTTATAAATTCATACATGCAGTGCTGAAAATCTCAAGTCCATCTGTGAAACTACATCAAAACACTAATAACCAAAAGCGGTTATATATAATAATAAAAATGGTTCACTTTCAAAGACCTGTGTGGGAAAGTATATAATAAGCACTTGGAACACAGAGGAAAGTACATAATAAATAGGGCTCACGTACGGGCACGTGAAAACTATGGCGGGAAAATTCATAACTCGCGAATGAAATAAATGGTAATGCGCACCAGACTAGCCGGTGCGATCATGCGTTTTGTGCAATTCAGCCCATCGAACGATTGCCTTTTAATGATTTC